CTTTTGGTATATATACATACGTTGTTCTCTCTTTAAAATTTTGGGATACAGTTTCCTCTAACAGACCAAAATATCCCCTAAATCTCTAGTTTATGGCTTTGTTCTAGTCTCCTGCCTGATCACATTCTCTCCCTTTTTATTTTAAATTTCTCTTCTTTCTTTTTTCAACCAACTTCTTATCAATTCCTTTTATAAAATCTTTTATAATTTTCATCTTTACAGTCATATTCTAACCCTGCATCATATTTACCCTAATTTTTGTACATATATGAGTTTTTCTTTCTTTAAAATTTTGGGAGGCAGTTTCTTCTAACAGACCAAAATACTCCCAAAATCTAGTGTGTGGCACAGATCTATTCACCAGCCTGATCATATTTGATCATATTCTTTTTTTTTCTTTTTCTTTTTCTTTTTTTCTTTTCTTTTTTCTTTCTTTCCCTTTCTTTTCCCCCAGTTTCGGGTCTCTTCTGATTTGTTTAGTGTATATTTTTCTGGGGTCATTGTTACCCCATTAGTATTTTGTTCTCTCATTCATCTGTTCTCCTCTGGACAAAATGACAAGACGGAAAAACTCACCTCAAAAAAAAGAACAAGAGGGAGTACTGACTGCGAGGCACCTAATTTATATGGACATCAGTAAGATGTTGGAACTAGAGTTCAGAATGACGATTATAGAGATATTAGCTGGGCTTGAAAAAAACATGGAAGATACTAGAGAAACCCTTTCTGGAGAAATAAAAGAACTAAAATCTAACCAAGTCAAAATAAAAAAGGCTATTAATGAGGTGCAGTCAAAAATGGAGGTTCTAACTGCTAGGATAAATGAGGCAGAAGAGAGAATTAGTGATATAAAAGATCAAAAGATGCAGAATATGGAGGTGAGAAAAAGGGAGGAAAACAACTACGGATCACAAGGGGAGAATTAGAGAGATAAGTGATACCATAAAGTGAAGCAATAATAGAATAAATGGGATCCTAGAAGAGGAAAGATGGAGAGAGAGGGGCAGAAGGTATATTGGAGCAAATTATAGTGAAGAACCTCCCAAACCGGGGGAAGGAAACAAGTATCCACATCCAAGAGGCACAGAGAACCACCCTCAAAATCAGTATAAATAGGTCAACACCCCAACATCTAAAAGTGAAACTTGCAAATATCGAGACAAAAAGAAAATTCTGAAAGCAGCTCTGGACAAGAAGTGGTTTCTCCTACCAGGGTAGAAACAGAAGACTGGAAGGCCAGAAAGGACTGGCATGATATATTCAGGGTGCTAAATGAGAAAAATATGCAGACAAGAATACTATATCCAGCTAGGCTGTCACTGAAAATAGAAGGAGAGGGAGGGGGAAAAGATGGTGGAGGAGTAGGGGACCCTATTCCAACCGGTCCCAGGAATTGAGCTGGATATCTACCAAACAACTCTGAACACCCATGAAATCAGCCTGAGATGTCAGAAGATAGATCTGGATCTCTACAAATATCTCAGGTGGTTGGTTTTGAGGTACATAGCAGGGGGCCGTGATTCCACAGGCAGATATCGGAGGATAAATGGCAGCGGGAGGAAGGCTGGCCATGAGGATCCTACATTGTCAGTGAGCAATAGCCTCCTGTGCTGGGGACTAGGCACAGACTCACAAACCTTTAGCGGCAGGGAAAGGAATTTAAGGCAGCCCCCCAGATGGAAACCCGGAGGGGTGGGGCCCACCTGCAAACTGGGGGCGGCTGGGGGTTTTAGAAGCACAAAAGGCAGAAATGAGCTCCGACCAACTAACTCTACACCATAAAGAACTAGAGAAAAAGCAACAAATGATGCCTAAGCCACGCATCAGAAGAGAAATAATTAAGATTAGAGCAGAGATCAATGAAATAGAAACCAGAAACACAGTAGGTCAGATCAACGAAACTAGAAGTTGGTTCTTTGAAAGAATTAATAAGATCGATAAACCAATGGCCAGACTGATCCAAAAAAAGAGAGAAAGGACCCAAATTAATAAAATTATGAATGAAAGGGGAGAGATCACGACTAACACCAAGGAAATGGAAACAATTATTAGAAATTATTATCAACAACTATATGCCAATAAACTGAGCAATCTGGATGAAATGGAGGCCTTCCTGGAAACCTATAAGCTGCCAAGGCTGAAACAGGAAGAAATTGACAACCTGAATAGGCCAATAACCAGTAACAAGATTGAACCACTGATCAAAAACTTCCCAAAAAACAAAAGTCCAGGCCCTGATGGAGTCCCTGTGGAATTCTACCAAACATTCAAAGAAGAAATAATACCTATTCTACTGAAGCTGTTTCAAAAAATAGAAACAGAAGGAAAGCTTCCGGACTCATTGAATGAGGCCAGCATTACGTTAATCCCCAAACCAGGCAAAGGCCCCATCAAAAAGGAGAATTTTTAGACCAATATCCTTGATGAATATGCATTCCAAAATCCTCAACAAAATCCTAGCTAATAGGATCCAACAATACATTAAAAGGATCATCCAGAATGACCAAGTGGGATTTACCCTGGGATGCAAGGGTGGTTCAACATTCACAAATCAATCCATGTGATAGAACACATTAATAAGAGGAGGGAGAGGAACCATATGGTCCTCTCATTTGATGCAGAAAAAGCTTTTGACAAAATATCATCCTTTCCTGATTAAAACTCTTCAGAGTATAGGGATAGAGGGAACATTCCTCAAGTTCATAAAATCCATCTATGAAAAACCCACAGCGAATATCATCCTCAATGGGGAAAAGCTGAGAGACTTTCCCTTAAGATCAGAAACATGTCAAGGATGCCCACCCTCGCCACTATTGTTCAACATAGTACTAGAAGTCCTAGCAACAGCAATCAGACAACAAAAAGAAATAAAAGTTATTCAAATTGGCAAAGAAGTCAAACTCCCTCTTTTTGCAAATGACATGATACTTTATGTGGAATACCTAAAAGACTCTACCCCCAAATTACTACAACTCATACAGCAATTCAGTAATGTGGCAGGATACAAAATCAATGCACAGAAATCAGTTGTTTTTTATACACTAACAACACAAGAGTAAAAGAGAAATTAGAGAAATGATTCCATTTACAATAGCACCAAAAACCATAAGATAAGTCGGAATAAACCAACCAAAGAGGCAAAAGATCTATACTCTAGAACTACAGAACACTCATGAAAGAACTGAAGACAAAACAAAAAGAGGAAGAACATTCCAGGCTCATGGATTGGAAGAATAAACATTGTTAAAATGTCTATGCTACCCAGAGCAATCTACACCTTCAATGCCATCCCGATCAAAATTCCAATGACATTTTTCAAAGTGCTGGAACAAACAATCCTAAAATTTGTATGGAATGAGAAAAGACCCCAAATCACCAAGGAAATGTTGGAAAACAAAAACAAGTTGGGGGTATCACGTTGCCTGATTTCAAGCTATATTACAAAGCAGTGATCACCAAGACAGCATGGTACTGGCACAAAAACAGACACATAGATCAATGGAACAGAATAGAGGGCCCAGAAATGGACCCTCAAGTCTGTGGTCAACTAATTTTCGACAAAGCAGGAAAGAATGTCCAGTGGAAAAAAGACAGTCTCTTCAACAAACGGTGTTAGGAAAATTGGACAGCCACATGCAGAAGAATGAAACTGGACCATTTCCTTATACCACACTCAAAAATAGACTCAAAATGGTTGAAAGACCTAAATGTGAGCCAGGAGTCCATCAACATCCTGAAGCAGAACACAGGCAGCAACCTCTTCGACCTCAGCTGCAGCAAATTCTTCCTAGAAACATCACCAAAGGCAAGGGAAGCAGGGGCAAAAATGAACTATTGAGACTTCATCAAGATAAAAAGTTTTTGCACAGCAAAACAAACAGTCAACAAAACCAAAATACAACCGACAGAATGGGAGAAGATATTTGCAAATGACATATCAGATAAAGGGCTAGTATCCAAAATCTATAAAGAACTTATCAAACTCAATACCCAAAGAACAAATGATCCAATCAAGAAACGGGCAGAATACATGAACAGACATTTTTCCAAAGAAGACATCCAATTGGCCAACAGACACATGAAAACGTGTTCATCATTGCTCGGCATCAGGGAAATCCAAATCAAAACCTCAAGGAGATACCACCTCACACCAGTCAGAATGGCTAAAATTAACAAGTCAGGAAATGACAGATTTTGGCAAGGACATGGAGAAAGGGGAACCCTCTTACACTGTTGGTGAGAATGCAAGCTGGTGCAGCCACTCTGGAAAGCAGTATGGAGGTTCCTCAAAAAGTTGAAGATAGAGCTACCTTACAACCCAGCAATTGCACTACTGGGTATTTACCCCAAGGATACAAATGTAGTGATCCAAAGGGGTACGTGCACAATGATTATAGCAGCAATGTCCACAATAGCCAAACTGTGGAAAGAGCCAAGATGTCCATCGACAGATGAATGGATAAAGAAGAAGTGGTATATACATACAATGGAATATTATGCAGCCATCAAAAAAAACCAAAATCTTGTCATTTGCAACAACGTGGATGGAACTGGAGGGTATTATGCTGAGCGAAATAAGTCAATCAGAGAAACACATGTATCATATGATCTCACTGATAGGAGGAATTCTTAATCTCAGGAAACAAACAGGGTTTCTGGAGTGGTGGGGGGTGGGAGGAATGGGGTGGCTGGGTGATAGAGATTGGGGAGGATATATGCTATGTTGAGTGCTGTGAATTGTGTAAGACTGTTGAATCACAGACCTTTACCTCTGAAACAAATAATACATTATATGTTAAATTAAAAAAAAAAAAACAAGATAGCAGGAAGGGAAAAATGAAGGGGGGGCTATCAGAGGGGGGGTCGAACCATGAATGACTATGCACTCTGAGAAACTGAGGGTTCTAGAGGGGAGGGGTGTGGGGTGATGGGTTAGCCTGCTGATGGATATTAAAGAGGCATGTACTTCCTCCCTCCCTCTGTTCCCCGGCCTCCGAGAGCTCCTCTGCTCCGCGGCCTCCACCCCACCGCCACGTACCGCTGCCTGGGCGAAGCGCTGCTGCTGTCCCGCGCAGGGCCCGCTGCCTTGGGTTCCGCGATGGCCAACTCGGCAGCGCTGCTGGGCCAGGCCTGCGGGCAGCACGCCATCGCCGTCGTGGTCGCTGCCCCATAGGCGGGGCTCGTGCCGCCCATCCGGCGACACTACAGCAAGGCGGCAGCCGACCGCGAGGACGACCCCAGCTTCTTCAAGATGGTGGAGGGCTTCTTCGACCGTGGGGCCAGCATCGTGGAGGACAAGCTGGTGGAGGACCTCAAGACCCGGGAGAGCGAGGAGCAGACCTCAAGACTGGATGCACGGCATCCTGCGGATCATCAAGCCCTGCAACCATGTGCTGAGCCTGAGCTTCTCCATCCGGCATGACGACGGCTCCTGGGAGGTCATTGAAGGCTACCGGGCCCAGCACAGCCAGCACCGCACACCCTGCAAGGGAGATATCCATTACAGCACTGATGTGAGTGTGGATGAAGTGAAGGCTCTGGCTTCTTTGATGACATACAAGTGTGCAGTGGTTGATGTGCCATTTGGTTGTGCCAAGGCTGATGTTAAGATCAGTCCCAAGAACTATACTGATAATGAATTGGAAAAGATCACAAGGAGGTTTACCATGGAGCTGGCAAAGAAGGGCTTTATTGGTCATGGCATTGATGTGCCTGCCCCAGACATGAGCACGGGCGAGCGGGAGATGTCCTGGATTGCTGACACCTATGCCAGCACCATAAGGCACTATGATATTAATGCCCATGCCTGTGTTACCGGTAAGCCCATCAGTCAGGGCGGAATCCATAGGCGGATCTCTGCTACTGGCCGGAGAATCTTCCATGGGCTTGAAAATTTCATCAACGAAGCTTCTTACATGAGTTTTTTAGGAATGACACCAGGGTTTGGAGATAAAACATTCATTGTTCAGGGATTTGGTAATGTAGGCCTGCACTCTATGAGATATTTACATCGTTTTGGTGCTAAATGTGTTGGTGTTGGTGAATCTGATGGGAGCATATGGAATCCAGATGGTATTGACCCAAAGGAACTGGAAGACTTCAAATTGCAACATGGATCAATCCTGGGCTTCCCCAAGGCAAAGCCCTATGAAGGGAGAATCTTAGAAGCTGACTGTGACATCCTGATCCCTGCTGCCAGTGAAAAGCAGCTGACCAAGTCCAATGCACCCAGAGTCAAAGCCAAGATCATTGCCGAGGGTGCCAATGGGCCAACAACTCCAGAGGCTGATAAGATCTTCCTGGAGAGGAACATTATGGTGATTCCAGATCTCTACTTGAATGCTGGAGGAGTGACAGTATCTTACTTTGAGTGGCTGAAGAATCTAAATCATGTCAGCTACGGCCGTTTGACCTTCAAATATGAAAGGGATTCTAACTACCACTTCCTCATGTCTGTTCAAGAGAGCTTAGAAAGAAAATTTGGGAAGCATGGTGGCACTCTTCCCGTTGTACCCACAGCAGAGTTCCAAGACAGGATATCGGATGCCTCCGAGAAAGACATCATGCACTCTAGCTTAGCTTATACCATGGAGAGCTCTGCCAGGCAAATCATGCGCATGGCCATGAAGTACAACCTGGGTTTGGATCTGAGAATGGCCGCCTATGTCAACGCCATTGAGAAAGTTTTCAAGGTGTACAATGAAGCTGGTGTGACCTTCACATGGACGGAGTGTGGCTGACCTCTTCACTGCCCTCTTCCCCTCTTCATCTGCAGACTCTTCACAAGTTTACATGTAACCACAGAAATCTCTCTCTCTCTCTCAACTTACTAGATAATGGACATCATTCTCAACAAGTCAGTCCAAATCAGCCCCTTTGAGCAAAAAGAAATAAAGGTTGGGGGATCATGTACAAGCTGATGAATATGAAAGTAGAAATTACCTATGCCAGAGAGCCATTTGGGTATTTTGCCATTAAATGAAAGGCCTCTTCCGTCTGTCTGTGCTGCTTTGTTCCGTGGCCGCTTTGAGTGTGGTCAGAGCTGGGGCCAGGAACACACCCATTGCCCAGGAGCAGCCAGCTGCTGACCGCTTCGATCCTGGACGAGTCAGACACACTCTAAGGCGTCAGATGTGAGCATTTTCAGAAGGTGGCATGGTCCTCAAGTGAGTTACTGGTATTTTACATCAGCAAAAAAACTCAATTTCACAGATAGCAACAAAAATAAAACTGTTTCTCTTTATGCATTTTATTCACTTAGAATAAAATAAGTACATGCTGCTGTAATAAAATTGCCTTTAATCACTTACCAAGCCTAACCTTGACCCAAGCAGTGAATGCCTATAAACATAATAAATGAAAAAAGGCTAGTATTTTTATAATATAAAACAGTATCATTTATAGCTTATCAATCATGTATTGTTGTCCAGAAAAAATAAAATGTCTGATGGAGAATTAAGTTATCCTCATACCTGCAAATGGTGGAGGCGATTTTTATTAAGACTGTCAGAATTTAGGGGCAGAGCAAGATGGCGGAGGAGTAGGAGACC